ATTCTACATTCTCGGATTTTATTCCTCAGGGAGTGCTCATCAAAGCACATTTATGAATGGAACGCAGTATTGAATTCTCGTTGATCTCACATTTTTCTTGTAACATGTGCATGTTGTAGAGAATAAATTTATTACACAATACTGTCGTACAAATCATCACCCGAATGAAATCAAACTGTAGTGACTAGTTCGGAAAATAAAAAGCACAAACACACCCTAAATCATGTAAGTAACATCAATATTGCAATAATGCTGTGAGGGAAGAGGTGGTTTTCATAGCCTGCCCCCCCCCCTCAATTTATTCTTCCCGTACGACTCTCTTCCCATCCTACCTACCAACTTCCCAATTTTCGCAAAACTTTCTCCCACGAGCCAGTTGCATAGAGGAGTGGTTGCAAACCTTCCATCGACTATCAAACATAGCAGTTTCGCGGCAGTGCCGACTAAGGAGCGCGCATGAATCGGGAAAATCAACGGTCAAAACAGTTCTTCTCATGGCAAAAGAGAACCACCCTTCGTGTATCCTAGGAACAGCGAGCCGTGACAACAATCGACAGAAGGGGGGGGGGGAAAGAGGACGAAAAGGAAAACAACAATCGAAGGAAGCCTCACGATGTCAAGTACGACCTATATCTTCGAGGATCCTCCTACCTAAGCTTAATCCTAACCTCTTTCCGATAATAACGATTATGCGATTACATCACGGACCATCACCGAAATTGCAAGACCGAGATAGCCACTGATTGTATGGACTGCAGCGTAGACGCCAACTATGAACGCTGCCTTGTCAGTTCGCTCATACGAAAGTTTCACAAGGAGTTTGTTGAGAAAAAGTACGAGATGCACCAAGGCTTCAGAACAATCGATGTAGTCAAGCTGAAAGTTACAAACATATCTAAAGAACGATATTAAATAATGACAAAATAATTAAAAAATCAGTCAAATGCTATAACATACAAGGTGGGAATGGAGAAAAGTAAGTAAGGAAGTAAGTAATTGAGTAAGCAGCGGAAAAAAGTACTAATAGAGCCACTATATAACCCTACAAAATTACAACTGTTTCTGAAAACTGCGTAAAAAGTACCCACAAACGACAAAGTCGGTACTTTGGGGAATGAAGGCTTCCAGATTTTCCTTCGCAAATATTAGCAACAAGGGCTATTTGTCCTTTTTTATCCACTCCTTGACAAACTGGGCGCCTTCACATTGCGATTCTCCCATAAACCATGTCCACACGTCTGGTATCTGAAAGATCGCACCAAATAATTATGGAATCTAAAAACTTGATAATACCAACAATCTGCGAGAAAAAACTGTCCGGGTAACTTGTCTAAACCACTATTTCCAACTTCTCAGGTCAGTTCCTACGTTAACTTCCACGAGGTAATGCACAGGCGAAGCGTGAGTGTTGTGGTTACTACCACCCGGTTGTCAGCTAGGAGAGTTAGGGTTTTCACCAACCACTTTCGGTAGTTGCTCCTCTTCCCAAAGACGTTCACATAATCGACAGTATCCATTCCGATAACCGGGAGCGTTCCACGGAGCAACTGTCCATCCTCCATTTCTCCATGCAAAATACTCTGCATATGGCCTTCCTATAAAAAAACTGCGAAAATTCAGTCTGAAGAATGATGATGGTCAACTCCCTGTTACTTTCATATGTACCAAAACTGCTGAAAGATTTTCGAATGGCTAGAAAAACTAACCTATCCGACTCCAACTGAATCAAATGCTCAGCCATTTCCTTTGGAGAAGTGTAGTCA